GTTACACTGGTTGTGTCCAATTGTTTCTAATATGAGACTGGCTGTAAAAGAGACCATTTATTTTGTTAATGCTATGATGGTTGAATTAAAAAAGACCAAATGTCCTTTTCTTTATTACCAGCTAAGGACAAATATCTATTCAAAGTACATAATGGATTTTATATTTTACTTGGCATAGGCTCTACATAATTATCCAGTGAGTTTCATTTTTTATGATATTCTGAATCCATTCTTCTTCAGTATTCTCACAGTAGAGTATTCCATTTATGAAAAATCTTCCTTATGCTATCTCTACAGAATGATGATGATAATAATAACTGTTACCACCACTCGTGATTGCAAACACTATAGTATTACTATGTGTTATGCCCTATTGTAAATACTAGATATTAACTCATCTATCCTTTAATAACCCTATAGTAGAGGTATATGGTCAACTACAATGTATAGAAGAGGAAACTGAGGCATAGAAAAATTGATTATGTTAATGGTGATCACACAGCCATAAGTTGGAGTTGGACCCAAAATCAGCTGGTGTGGATCAAGAACTAATATTTGCTAACCATAGTGATATGCATTTTTCTATAATTGTTAACAATTGTTATGTAATTATCAACAAAAATGTAAAGAAAGAGTAAAGTGACATATTTTTATCACGTTAACTGGAAAAATAGAACTTACTCTACCTAGTACATATGTGACGTTTTGAAATTGACATGCTAAGTAAAATACATTCTTTTAAGCAACCTAGAACTCTGTGTAGGGTTGCATGGTTGGTTATGTGGTGTTAAGTAGATCTGAAGAGGTGGTCTCTGGAGAATGAGCTTTGCACAGATGCCTGGATCATCATGAGGCACCTATGTACCTGTAGAAGCACAGTACCTGCAGTGGGGTCCAGCTCTAGAATTGTATGACCTTAGACAAGTTGTGTCTCAGAATTTTCATCTGTTTAAAAAAAAAAAGACAATTCTAATCCCCCCAATTGCTGGGAATGTATACTATATTAGAAATTAAAAACTCCTATTGTGTGCTGTATGAACAAAATGTTTTATAAGAGAAAAAACATATCAGTAAACTCAAATCATCACTTTGCCTAAGACTTTAGGCAAATAGAACTGAAAAGAACCTGCACCTAGAGGTCTTCACATTGTAAGTAGATACCCCCACTGAATATCATCTTAGTATGTATCAAGTGGAGGTAGTTTATTAGCAGTAGATGTGTTTCTTATTTTATTAATAAATGCATTATAATTTTATAATTCAGACTTAAAATATTATGTGTCGAACGTTAATAGTAGCCTACTCCAATATGCATTTTTCCTCTCTCACCTTAGTAACACACCTGAGCACATTGCTTCCTGGAAACTAAAAACAAATAAAACAGTAAACTTTATTTTTCTTCTTTCTTTGCAACCAGGTAAGGGCATATAACTATGTTTTGGTAAATAAGATATAAATGGAAATATTGTGTCAATATTCTAGGAAGACTGTTTAAGGGAACCAAATCAATAGAGAGGAATCCTTTTGTCCCTTTGAATTTGCTTTCTCTTTTGTCAACAATGTGGATAAGCGGATTGAAACTCCAGTATGAACTGATGGACTATGAACTGACCTTGAAAATGGAAGACAAGATTTAGGACAAGGGAACAGAAATATAGCAGCCTGGATTCCTGATGATATCATGGCTTCCTTGCTTTGGTCATGAGCTACCTAGTTCTAGATTTTACAATGAGATTATTAAAAGAAAACCAAAGAAATTTAAATCACTGGTATTTTTGATCTGTTAACCCATTTCAAATTATGCAGCAGAACAATCTTATCATCAAACTAAACAAGAACTTTTATATAGTTATTGAGTGCCTTTATTTATAATGTAATGGCATGTAAAAATAGATTGTTGGATTTTGATTAAATATAAGATCTGATTGTCCTGAGGTAGAAAAGAATAATTTTGATGTTATATATTCTATTATATACTTGCATACTTAAGTTAAAGAGGCATTTTCCTGAAATATATTCCAAAACATAAAATACAGAAAATTAAAAAAATAGATCTGAAGGTATATTATCTACTGTTTATAACACCAACACTTAGATTTTAGTAAAATAACATCATCTGTGATCTTAAATTAACTTTATTATAATTTGATTATTTCCATAGTTTTGGCTACATTTAATACATAGATTTACTTTGTGCTATTTTTATCTAAGCATAGGAATTTATATTTAATTAAAGTGAAAAAAAGATGCCCCATGATTATTGTTTTACTTTAGAAGGGGAAAATAAAATACTTAAGTTTAAAAAAATCCAACTGAGGGCTGGGTATATGGCTCAAGTGGTAGCGTGCTTGCCTGGCATGCGTGCGGCCCGGGTTTAATCCTCAGCACCACATACAAACAAAGATGCTGTATCCGCCAAAAACTAAAAAAATAAATAAATAAAATTCTCTCTCTCTCTCTCTCTCTCTCTCTTAAAAAAAAAATCCAATTGAGGAGGCTAAGCAAAGTATCTCCTAAATAAGATACTCAGCCATCATCTCCTCACAGACAAACCAACCCGAAGAGCTACCCACACACCAAAATACCTTTGAAAGAGCTAAGGAAATAAGGTGAGAGGCCATGGTGCCTGCTTTTGGTATAACAAAACAAAAAGACACATTGAAGAAGGCAGAAAGGAAAGGGTTACCCTTGTCACTCTTTTTCCAACTCAAAACAGACCAGTGCATTCCCCCTCCCCATTTTGGGGAGAGGGAAAAATTAATCCAGGTCTTGGAGTTGAAGCCCAGTGCTGGGCAAAGCCCATGACCTCTACCACCAGGCCAGTAGCTGTGGCCAAAGCTGCTAGAACTGTACTGTGCCAAGTGGCTGACTGTAATCACTAGTCCTCATCTAACCTCAGACAGCAGAGCCAAGAGCAATATTCCACCCTCTGGGGAACAGGGCATGAAAGCTAGCACCAGGCTTTTACTTGGATCCCAGTGCCAGGCCCACTGAAGTGAGACCCAGCAGCTAGTAGAAACTGAAGTTCCTGTACACAGGCCAGAGCTCATGGATGGATCCTCTAGTATGGCCCTGGCATTAGGTTGTAACCTGTGTGATGAGACAAACCTGAATTTCAGCCTCACCAGTTCTAGCTTTGGAGTGAGCTTAGAATACCCACACTTCTTCAAAGAGTGTGTAGTTGTGAGACTCACGTGCAACCCTGTTAGTACCATCGATGGCCTAGGAACTCTATTGTCCATCATCCAACCTTGGGCAGCACAGGCTATTACCACACCAGTGTTCTCAGATGGGGCTTTAGAACTACCCTGGTGCCAAGCATACACTTGAGCCCCAGTGGGATGAGCTTGTGTTTTGTCTTGAATCACCACCAGCTGTGGTGTGAACCCTTGTATGCCTCTGAGATTGTGCAGGACCCCCGTGACTGTGAGACTCAAGCTTAAACCACCTTAGCATCTAGGTGGCCAAGGGACTGCCTTTGCCAAAACTATCCCAACCTTGGGTAGCATACTGTGGTAAAAGACCCCATTCATTAGGGGTAGAACAGGATAGTAAACCAAGGATTTGGACTGGTAAAGCCTAACATTGAGCAGAACCTAACAATCTTCATGCCCTGGCCTGCCTACATACAGTAGCCATAGTGTTGGGGGAGATGCGTGGACCCTGCCTATTAGTTTTCTGTTCTAGCTAGAGTCACTTGTGGCTTGTTGCAATGGTCTTGGGTCACAGGGAAACTGACCTCAGCAATGGGCAGCCCACAGCAGTGCAAGCCTTGGTCCTACCCTAGCATTGTGATAGTCTAGGAGAGTTATGGGTTCAAGGTCTGACACAGCTTGATGGTATTGGTGGCCACAGAAGTGAAAACAGGAACCTAGGGGTTATCTATCCATGATGACTTTGTTCAGAGAGAATCCTGCAGGCTGATAACTTCAGATGAGGCTTTCAGGCCAACCCTGGGCTCAGGGAGAGGCTTATTGAGTACTGACTACTCTTTCTAGGCACTTTCTTGTTTCTTTCTCAACAGTACACCAACAGTATATTTGAAACCAATCAGGGCTTGGATTGCCCTCTGTTAGTGAAATAGTGCCAATACATCAACCACAGACTTCTTGTGAATCTGGACTTGAGCACCTTCTAGAACTGAAATCATAGAAGTGACTATAGGCTTAGAGAAAATAAACATCATGCTGTTTTAATTATTATATTTTGGTGTTATGTTTTGAAATCAAGTACCGTACTGCCTCTTTTTTCCCCCTCAAGAGTCTTGTGATTCCCATACAAGCTTTAGAATTTTTCTTTAAAGATCTGTGAAGAATGCATTAGTATTTTGATAGAGACTGCATTGAATCTATAAATCACTTTGGATAATATGAACATTTAACATTATTGAGACTTCCAATTCATGTACACAGGATGTGTTTTCAGGTTTTTGATCCTCTTCAGCTTCTTTTATTATTGCTTTACAGTTTTCATTATAGAGATCAGTATGTGTCTGTGTTGGCATTTTTAGGTAAAACTAACTCTTTGATTACCTGAGAAATATTTCCTTCATAGTACTAATAACTTTTGACATAGTCCATTGGCCTTTACCTGTCCTTTTCTTCCAACTATGTCTGGTCCATTTCAGGTTATATTCTTTTATGTCATATTTTTCTCTAGTTTGTTCTTGAGGTCTCTCTCATGAGAGTGACTATATACTACAACCCTGCTCTGATGGGAATACTGGGGCAGTTGTGGGTCTCCTGTGTGTCTTTCACAGCAGATGTCCTAGTGTCAGAACCATGACCAAATGACCCTCTTACAGAAAACTTGTTACACCGACAGACACCCTTATGGCTCTTGTTTGACTTGTGTCCAGTCTATTCTTACCTTGAAGCCACTCTCTAAGACAATCTTGACTTGCAGGAGATTTAGGTGCAGGTGTTTTAGTCAGGTGAGACTGAGGAGGTAGCACTATAAAATGCCATGAAATAATGGGAGTATTTTCTTATTGTTTTCAGATCCCAGTAGAGAAGAGGGCAGCTTGCCTCAGAGGATAAACAGGAAATGAGGAGCTATCTGGCACATGTACATTCAACCAGAAGATAAGGAGCAAGAGGAGAAGGAGGTACCTACAAGCCAAAGTCTTTATTGAATTTCAGGGTATATTATAGAAGCAGGGTTCTAATGGCAACTTCTAGTTGGTAGCTTTAAAATGAGTGAGCACGAGTTCCAGGAGAGCATACTGTGACTGACAAGGGGTCACTGTGTCATACCTGCTTAATCTAGGTAGAGTGTGGGGGTCCACAGGGAGTGGTCAGGAAGTTGCCTAAGGCAGATACCTGGATTCATCACATTGAGGAACTAGAAGGAGGCAGAGAACATAAAGCTGTGTCAAGGGTAGCTAAGATCTATTTTTAGTATGAGAAAGTACAACATATATTTAACATGAGTGCCAAGGAAACATAAAATTGTAGAAATTCATTTTTTCCCAAATCCAGAGCCATTGCTCTGGTAAGAAACAAAATGCATCTTGATTAGCCATGCATTGGTGGAATAATAATGATAATAATAATAGCTGCAAATATAACCATATTAAAATAACTGATTCAGACTCAATGATGGGGAAGCAGGAGGTGGCAGAAATGGAGGAAATGTGCTGACTCTCAGGGAAAACTTGACAGCTCTTATAACTTTTCTAGAAGAAATAATATAAAACTTAGACTTAACAGTGGCTTTGGAAGCAATCTGTCCTGGGTTGGAAGGTCTACTTTGCCACCTACCACTGTATGTCTGTTAGTGAATAATTTGCCCTTTTGGAACCTCATATCCCTTACATATAAAATGGGAATAATAACAGTTGTCTTACAGCATAGTTGTGAGAATTATGGGTTGTATGGACTTGTGGGAAAAATGTTAATGAGATATTTGGTGCATAGCAGGTATTCAATTCATGGTAGCCATGATTATTGCATTGTGACTTTCTTACATTGTGATGAAGACATTCAATGATGGCCTATTGGTATCAAAGATAACAGAAACAAAAAGTTGAGAAATGGAGCAAAGTTATGATGCTGTGAAGAATTAACTTATGCCTTTTATCAAGTTCCTGTTCCCCAGGGAGTATTGTACCATTTTTTCCCTTCCACAATGGATCCTATACCAACATCTACGCTAAAGTGGCTGTTTAAAACACAGTTCTATGGTAGAAGAACAAAATGCTACTGATTTAGTCCCAATTATAATTTATAACCTGGGATGCTCTTAAAAATATTTGGTAACCAAATAGCGGAGGCACCTGTATTATACACTCTAACTGATGGCCCATGTCATCCCCTTTACTGACAGACACAGTTAACATTTACTTAAATTACTACTGATATTGAGACTGCTATTGCTATGTACAGTCACAATAGTCTCTCCGACTACGCCAGTGTGGACTTTCTCTCTACCTTAGTATACCAGGAAATACTGCATAAGAAGGAAAGTGACTCTAACTATATGACTTCACTATTTTCTGGGAGCTACCTGGAGACATACGCTCTGATATGCATGCACCTTTGCTTGGTTTTCATTTTCAGAAATTCTTTTTCCTTTCCCTGTCAAAAAAGAAAATTTTCAATTTCTTAACAAGTGGAATAAAAAGTGAAGTTTTAATCTTGCACTGCAAAGAGTAATAGAATGGTAATTGGAGCTTTCCCAGCATATGCAGTAGGTATTTTAAAAAATATTTGGCAACTTTCATTTTGACAAATATTTAATTTGAAAAAAAAACACAGAAGACAAAGAGCAACCAAATAGCCAACACTTCAATTTAGTCTCAATATCAGTAATAATTTAAGCATATGTGAACTGAGCAGATTTTTAAAATATTAAACTGTGGCCTTATAGTTGATGCTTAGGGTAGAGATCTGTTAAATTGGTCTGGGAAGTTTCTAAGGGATCTTTTACCTTCAGACTGAAGAGTAAGTTCTACAAACCTCAGACTGTTAGCATAGGAAAGGGAAGAAGTACAGGAAACCAAAGCTCATTTACTGAGTGGTATTATATTCAAGGTATTTCTGAAGATAAACCTGTTCTCTCCAAATCCCTTGGTGGGTAGGAATCCTGTGGAATTTGCTCATTGTTGGCATCATTATCCTTGGAATATATTTACACATTGGAAACTCAAAAAATGTTGGAAGCATGATGGGATGGTGATGTATTCTAAACCTTTCTTTTTTTTTAATTGGTTGTTCAAAACATTATAAAGCTCTTGACATATCATATTTCATACATTAGATTCGAGTTGGTTGTGAACTCCCAATTTTACCCCAAATACAGATTGCAAAGTCACATCGGTTACACATCCACATTTTTACATAATGCCCTATTAGTAACTGTTGTATTCTGCTACCTTTCCTATTCTCTACTATCCCCACTCCCTCCCCTCCCATCTTCTCTCTCTACCCCATCCACTGTAATTCATTTCTCTCCTTGTTTATTTTCCCATTCCCCTCACAACCTCTTATATGTAATTTTGTATAACAATGAGGGTCTCCCTCCATTACCATGCAATTTCCCTTTTCTCTCCCTTTCCCTCCCACTTCATGTATCTGTTTAATGTTAATCTTTTCTTCTTGCTCTTCCTCCCTGCTCTGTTCTTAGTTGCTCTCATTATATCAAAGAAGACATTTGGTATTTGTTTTTTAGGGATTGGCTAGCTTCACTAAGCATAATCTGCTCTAGTGCCATCCATTTCCCTGCAAATTCCATGATTTTGTCATTTTTTAGTGCTGCGTAATACTCCATGGTGTATAAATGCCACATTTTTTTTATCCATTCATCTATCGAAGGGCATCTGGGTTGGTTCCACAGTCTAGCAATTGTGAATTGTGCTGCTATGAACATCGATGTAGCAGTATCCCTGTAGTAC